TCACCGACGACCCGACTAAGCTAGCAAGCAGCGTCACCTGGATAGGTGGAGGATACTCATACACGCGCCTGCACCTGGACGCGCCCGCCCCGCCCGGGCCACGCCCTGGAGTGACGCCAAGGCCCCCATGGATAGACGACCGAGACACCAGGTGGACGAAGGAGCAGAACAAGGCCGACTTCCACTGCCAAGGGTGCCCACGCGGCCCCTTCAAGCACGACGAAGGCGCCTACGTCAGCAAGCGGATTCGCCAAACCATTACGGTCAACAGGCTGACGGAGCACTACCAAGGGAAGGGCCTGACCTGGCTTTGCATATGCTGCTGGACCACGAAGGCCATGGCAGAGCGACAGCCCATTCCAGACGACCTGGACTTCAAGGACTGGATCAACGACCGCCCCGACGACATGCCTGTTCGCACAACGCGAATGCGTCCGACGTCAGCACCCACGGCCCCAACGCCCCTGGACCAGCTACTGGCCCCGCTGGAAGGCGACCTGAACCCTCTTAATGCGGGGGCCACCCTCCCAGCCAGTAACACGAACGACGATCGCCTGATCTCCCATTTCCACAAGAAGAATGTCGGCATCTGGCGATGCGACGGCTGCCCCCCGGGCACAGAAGGACACAGATGGGGGCCAGAACAGGCTGACCCTGGCATGTATGGGCACGCCGCTGACCCAAAAGGACTCCGCGCCGGCTTTAACCTGGTCCACGGGCTCCCACCCATACAACTAATGAGGGAGATCTTCCTGGCAAAGCGCTGGCACGCGGGCTGGTACTGCAAGGAATGCCTGGTCCACTAATGGGACATGGCCCCGTCAGCAGTGAGCCAGGTACTCGACAGATACGGCCCCGACGTATGCCCGAGCGCAGGAGCCAGACCTCTCGCCGCACTACCAGGCACCCCCGCCTCGTCGTCAGAAGACGCAGCACGCCCCAACCAGGAAAAAATGCTGCGACGTGCTGCCGCCTGGGACGAGGAAGAGCGCATCTACTACGAGCGCCTCCACACCTCACTGCCGCCACCTCCCAAGGACAAGCAGCAACACTTTGCCTGGGACCCTGGCGCCACGGCTTCCGCCCAGCCACCCACCGGGCGAGCGTCCAGCAGCGGGCCCCAGCAGCACACCGCCCACCGAGCGGGAGTGCGTCCCGACCACACCTCCAACCAAGCTGAGTCACCAAGACCCGCCAGGGAAAGGCGCCTGACACCCTGCCCGCCCACTCACGGTGGCGATTCACTCCCGCCCACTCCGCGTGGCGACGAGCCGGCCCTGGCCCCGCCTGCTACAAGACCTACAGCTACCAACTCCGTCGGGGCGCCACCGGCTGTCGGCGCGGCACCTGAAAACCCCGGAGAGCGCACGGAACCCAGCAGCCGCGAGCGGCAGCAAGGGCGAGTCCCAGACACGCCCATCACGGGCTCCTTTTGCCCGCTCGCAACGGACAGCCCGTGCATCCAGGGCGGCGACTACGTGGCCATGAGGAGTGACACCCTCCCCCGCGCCAGGTGGTTCAGCACTGCGGACAGCACCGAACCCCTGTCGACGCAGCCCCTGGACGGAGCGGTACTTGGACCCGTCCTCAATGTCTTGGCCCGCGAACAGGACGGGCGGACCCAGTTCGTCCAGATCGGCAGCGAGTGGCTGGAAGCATGGGGCACCGGTAACAAGACGCTACGCGTGAACGTCCTCCGCGGAAACGCAGCGCTCCGGGCAGCACCCTTCCTGGACAGTACCCACAGCAAGGTGCACGGGACGCAGGCACCAGCGGCCCACGACAGTCCCAGGCTCGGCGCCGACATCGGGGGCGACAAAGCGACGTCCCCAGGAGGGACGCAGACCGGATCCAAGCTCGAACCTTACCCGCCGCATGCAGACGCGCAGGATCCCACCAACGAACCTGCACCCCTTGTGCCCCCTAAAGAGGAGGACCCCGACTGGACCAATGACGACCAGGAACAAGAGAAGAAGCTGAGCCTTGCAGAGGCCTTAAGCACGGTCCATGCGGTCTCCTCATCCTCAGACTCCGACACAGTCGAGGAGCGCCAAGCCAAGACGAGTTCTCATAACGAACGACGCAGCAGTCCTGAGCACGACTCAAGCAGTACCGACCAGAATGCCGCCGACGCACCCACGGAACCGATCGTGCTTCTGAGGCCGTGGTCGACAACCGGGAGCTCCACACGCGGACCCGGTCCGAAGGCCCGGAAAACAGACGACCAGCACTCAACCCCCTCCCTGCACACCAGCTAAAGCGCTTGCGCAGCAGGGCGCGGGAGCCAGTCGCCTAGGAGTCGTACGCGACGGCGGCGAGGCGCGAGTCAAGAGAGACTGGCGACCGGACCCGTGCAGGGGAGCACGACCGCGACCGCGACCGCGACCGCAACCAGGGCGCAGCGAGGGCATCGTGGCGCAAGCACGACGCCAAGGACTGGGACAGAACCAGGGAACGCTACTGGGACCAGGACAACGACAGTGGCAGGGGCACAGGGAGCACACCCTGGCGCCAGCCAGAACCACGCAGTTCTTACCACAGGGATGATCGCCGCCACCCGACCCCAGCCGGACGCGGGCAATCTTCCGCGTCGGCTGGCACGGCCGCCCACACGAGACAGCTGTCGCACACCTGAAGAGGCTGCAGGCGAAAGGGGGATACCACTTCAACGCAGCCTGGCATTCGTGATGCAGGCGTATGTGTAAGGAGCAAGGCAAAGGCAAATCCAAAGACCAAGTCCCTTTCGACCCGAACCGCTGGCAGCATTGGTTAATTGACAAACTCCTGGAAGACATGAACACCAGCAACCATCACGTGGAAGCGTGGTCCCGCAACACAGGCGTCTACGTGGACTAGGATCGGGAGAAGACCCTGTACTATGACGTCCAGAGGAAAAGAAAGGTCGGCAAGAGTGACGGGCGCGGAGAGGACCAGGCGCGCAGCTCCAGGTACAACGACAGCTGGACTGGAAAGCGCCCGCGGCACTGACCAGCTGGCGACGTGACCTCCTCGCACTGTCGCAGCACGACGCGACCGCCTCCACACTCCCACCACCTGTGCCCCCTTCCCCCCCCCCACCTTTTCACCTGACGTGGGACCGTGCGTCCTCCTTTTCCCCCCCACCTGTACCCCCTCTGTACTTGTGGCGAGCACGCCCCATGAGCAGCGACTGCCTGCTGGTCCACCAGGTCTCCGACTGTACCTACTCCTCCCTTCCCTTTCACCTGTCTTTACATGTTCTGGGACCGTGTGTCCTACCTGTACCCATCGGGGCCCGTCCCCCATGTGAGCACCTGCGGTGCGGACTGGCACGACGACGGCTGGCGTGGCGCGCCCTGTCTTCTACATGTTCTGGGGCCGCGTGTCCTACCTGTACCCACCGGGGCCCAGTCCCCCACGTGAGCACCCACGGTGCGTGCTGACGCGACGACGGCTGGCGTGGGACGCCGGCCTCTCCTCCCTGTTCACTTCTCCCCCCCCGTTCGCTTCCCCCCGTCCCATGGCGGCAGCGCCCGGCACTGCGCGGCTTCGGCCCGGTGCCGGGCGCTGCACCTTGCCGCCTCGGCGGCCCCGCTCGCCATGGCGCTGCGCGGCTCAGGCCCGGCCCTCGGCCATGCGGACGTCAGCGCATCATGCGTGGCTGTTCCGTCTTCACGCGCTGATGGTGCAAGGCAGAATTTCTCCCTGCACTCCACCGACATCCTGTCGGACAAGGACGGCCCTCGTCAGTGGCCGCACCTCAAGGAGGCTGTTTCCTGGTCGTGGATTGGACTACCACCCCGGGCCTCATCCGCATCACCCGGTGGCACAACGTTGCACATTTCCTTCGAGGTGCTCTTCTTCCTCCTGGGCCTCCTCCGCATCATCCGGTGGCACAACAACGCTGCTCATCGCCTTCGTGGTGTTCCTCTCCCTCCTGGTCGTCGACCTGGTCGAGTGGCACGTCCTCCTCTGCAGTGCTTGAGGCTGGTGTTCGCGAAGTGCCGTTGACGGCAACACCACATCGCTCGCCCTCCGGGTCTTCGCCTCCGCTACCTGTCCGCGGCGTACCTTTTCCTGTGCAAGCTCTCTGGCACCGCCTGCACCCCGGGTTCCGCCCGCTCTGGCCGCCTGAGGCCCCGCCTTCCTGTGCCCTGTCTCCCTGATTAAAGCTGTGCGTAGCCCGCCTAGCTTTTAGCGGAAGAGGTTCGCTCTCGCCCCGCCGACCAAAAAAGTGTTATAATATGTTCGGCTATGTCATGGTATGTTGTGTTGTGTCGTCTTAGTTTATGGCATGTTCTGTTCTGGTATGTTCGGTGATGCGATGTGATGCTCGATGTTGCCATGGCGTCGCTAAGTTATGTTATGTAATGGTATGTCATATTCGTGTTATGCTATGTCATGGAATGTTGTGTCGTGTGATGTTATGTCGCGTTCGTCGTCGCTATGTTCTGCTGTCGTAATATGATCGGTTATGTGATTAGGTGACATGTTTTGATATGTTATCTCAATGTGTGCTATGCTATGCTCGGCTCTGTTGTGTTATGTTGTGTTCTGTCGTGTTCGTCGAAGGCACGAGGCGGGATCATCGGGACAACTTAGGGTCTGGCGGCCGCGGCATGCAGGGCGGGGTTGGCCGGGCGCGAGGCGGGATACCCAGGATACTCGAAACTCCCCCGGGGCAACTTGGTGTCTGGCGGCCGCGGCATGCAGGGTGGGGTTGGCCAGGCGCGAGGCGGGAAAACCAGGATACTCTGGACTCTCGGGACAACTTGGGGTTTGGCGGCCGTGGTATGCAGGGCGGGGTTGGCCAGGGGGCCTGTTTTCGAGATCTAACAGCCCCAATCTGTCGGGTGGAGAACAATAAGAATCTCCTCAGAGAAAAAACACATCGAACTGTTTACCTCCCTCAAGGAATTCTAAAACTTCTTTATAGCCTTCTCTGGCCACTGCCCCCCCCCCCCCTGGCCCCAGAACCGCCCCAAACATTGTAGCTTATCGTTTTCTCGCCATCCCGACACCTTCTCGACGTTGCCGGCGCAGTCCTGCGTGATACTGCTCAGCGCGGGGTACCCAGCGGCAGGGAAGTCAGGGTGCTGAAGCCAATCGGACACCACGGTCCGCTCGCGCCGCCAACCGATTGTCTGGATGAGGGTGGCAGTCTTGAAAAAGGCCCCGTATCCGTCGCCACCCCACTGGTAGAGCCAGGAGGTAGTGGCGAAGGTGTAGATCTGTCCGTTCTCGATGCGCAGCCACTCGGTGCAGCCTGCGCCCGCAGTGTAGGATCCTTTCTTGCAGATCTCAGCGCTCACATAAGTGCCAGAGTTTTTCTTGCAGACGCCCTGTTCCTCCTCCGAGCCAGCCTCCGCGGAGACCACCGCCTGCGCGAAACGCAAGCCCGAGAAGTGCCCGAAGCCACCGTCCGCGCACTCCGACGCTGAGTGCTTCAGCGCCTCCTTCAGCACCGAGCCATTGACAGCGATGACAACGATGTTGTTGTTGTACGGCATCACTCCCTCAAGCTCGTTGAGCGTCACAGGCCCAGCGGAGAGCCCGCCCTGGATGCCGCCAGTGCTGATCATCGCGAAGTGGCACACGCTGTCGCCGAAGCTGAACATGGCGTCGGCGAGCAGGCGCGTGATTGGGCAGTCCTGCGACCAACAGATGTACCTGTCGTCGGTGCTGTACTCGACTGGCTGTAACAGCTCCACGATCGTGGCGCCGAGGGCCTGCTGCGCCTCTTCGTAGTACGTCTTCACGGCAGCCGCGAGGTCGCCCTGGCCCTGCGTGCCGTCGTCCACAGACTCGTCCATAGTGACCAGACCACCATGCCACCTTACCGCGTGCGCGCGGGCGCTGATATCCACGGTGACACTGCCCACCTGGGTGCCCTTAGGCGGCGAGCTGACCACCAGGATGCGCTTTCCTGGCACCACCTTGCTCTCCACAGCGATCTGGTGCACGCCGGCCCAATCGAAGCCGTCCACGTCGCCGTACAGGGCACCTGCTAGGTCACCAGCCGATATGATCGACAGCGCCGCCACGTCGATCCCAACCGAGTTCTGCAGCACCGCGAGAGCTTCCTGCACGTTCAGCCCCAAAAGAGCCACGACGAGGCCCACCTCCTCGTGCTCGCGCAGCTGGCTCACGGCTGCCGCCACATCCACGGACAACACGCTGGCGTCCTCACTCTGCGGGTTTATCTGCCAGTCTGTGCCCACGATGGACTTGGTGCTGACCTCGTCTGACATCACGCCGATGATCCCGACCTTGCGGGTGCCCAGAGTGGCCACGTGGTACCTGGAGACGGCATCCCTCACGCTATCCCAGTCAGCTCCAGCAACGTCCACATTCGTCATCACCACAGGGCCGCCATAGCCCTGCAACATGCTGTTCACGGCAGACGCCACCTCAGCCTTCGCGCTCCCCTGGAAGTCACGGAAATTGGTCGCCACGACAGTGTAGTTCTGCAGGTTCAGCAAGTGACCGTCAGCCGCGCCCGAATGCGAGGCGGCGAAGTCGCCGCCAAAGTAATGATTTCCAGCGTCCACGACGAGGACGCTCGCACCGACCTCTTGGCGCACGGACTCGAAGAACTTGCCCCTCCGCTCTGCGCCGCCGACGCAGCCGGCGGAGATGTTGCCAGAGGTCGGGTCGTAGCACGGCCCACTGCCAGTTGGCAGGGAGGCTCCCGCCACCTCGGCGGTGTGCAGCAGCCGCAACGAGAAGCACTCCTCGGTCTCAGTCCACGAAGAGAAGGCGCTGGGGCACCACGACCCGGCGCGGTGCACCGGGTTGCTGGCGGTGCCGCAGGCGAACTCAAAGAGGCCGTCGCTCCAGAGGTCCCAGAGCCCAGGCGTGCCGAGCAGGGCATCGCACGCCGCGTACGCGAGACCCTCGCCCGGCGGCGACTCCACCGCACCTGCGAGCCCCCCGACGCCGTCGAACAGCACCGCGGGGCCGCCCACGAGCACCTCGCCAGGGAGGTCACTCTCGAGTGCGCCGAAGGATGAGCATCCGTCCGCGCTGCGCCAGCGTGACGACTGCACAGTGCCCGCGCCGTCGACCAAGACCTGTATGTTCTGCGACATCTGCGGGTATCCGTCCGAGGCAGCAAAGCGGCCCGCGGCCGTCAGCCAGGAGAGGAAGGTCGCGTTGGTGACGCGCCTCACCTCGAATCGCGCGGAGGCGTCGACCAGGCCGTGCAGGTGGCCGGGAGCCATGCTGCCGCCCGCCACCAACCTCCCCGCTGCATCAAGCCCGTCTGGAGTCAGCACGCTGGCAGGCAGCACTGCGACATGGCACGCGTCACAGCCGGCGAGCAGGGCGTTGGCAAGTAGCGTGCCCAGCGCGCACGATCTGCCTTGGCACGCCGTGGCATCAGCAGACACGTCGCCCAGCAGACGAGGCACGACGACGCTGTGGAAGTTGGCTGCGTTACCGCACATGTGGGTGGTGGTGGTGGCCGATACGGTCGTCGTGGTGTACGTCGTCGCGGTGTCGTTCCCGGCGGCCTCCGCCGAGGCCGCGGCGGGAGCCAGCAGCAACGACGCCGCCATGAGAGCGAGCACGCTCCTGCGCCTGCGTCCAGCCCCCAGGCCGCGGATGGGCACGACGACCATGCACGCCCGCTCCTCGAGAAGGCTCAAATGACACCCTAAGCCGTCTTGGGTGGAAGGGCCGCCGTCCTGAAGTTGTCTAGGATCGGTGCCGAAGCGTTTCCAAACGACCCCGGCACCGCGCTCAGCAGGGCAGCGGCGCCCCTCGGGACGCTTCGGGGAGGCCTTCGGGACCGCGTTGCGGGACAACGCGACCACCCCCGAGAGACTCACGATTGTTTGGAGCGTTCCCAACACTCCTGCAAGGCGCCGCCGCGCGCCACGGAGCGCGGGGACCAGTCAGACCATGGGCGCGCAGAGCAGTCCTCCGGGGCGGGGCATGTTTTTTCACCCACCCCACCGTCCCCTTATGTTCCTGCACTTCCCGCCTCTCGGAGCAAGATAAGAAACTACGCCTCACAAAGCTGATGCAGAGATCTCATGAGGGAGCATTGAGGTGTTCGGTGAGTTTTTGTGCGCTTCAAGGAGCTCCTCCTGGTCTATTCCAAGGAAGCTGGGCCAGGGGGTTCTCAAAAGAAAGTCCGGGAAGCTGGCCCAAAATGTCTTTGCCCAAAGTTTCGTGGCCACCTCTTCCAGAGTAGCGGGTCTGCTAAAAAAGTGCCCCCTCCAAAACTGGATTGCAAGTTTCCACCTCTCCCTGGGCCCCTGAAAGTCACGCGACCACACGGTTGCACGTTGCTATCTTCAATGTCGGGCCTGAGTGCGGAATGTGGGGGCGCGATGGTCTCGCTGGCGTCCGGGCTTAACTGGTAACTCGGGCAGAGCTTTGGGGACGCGGGTCACACCAGGCATACTTGGGAGGAAAGAAGAGAAAGGAGCGAACCGACCGAAAGTCCGGGACGAATGTCCCGCGAAAGCGACGGACAATCTGGGACGAGACCCCCGGAAAAACGACCGACTCCTCGATGTTCGATCCTCTGGCTGGTCGGTCACTCGCGCGGGCGACAGGGAGACTGGAAGACCAACGTCCGAAAACAAAAAGGAACCTACAACAGGAACTAATCCCACCAGCCCTCTGGGCGTTGGTGGTCTAGCGCGTTTCCTCTTCCACCTCCCTTCTTCCTTTTCGGCAAAGGGAAATCCTTATTTCCTTTGATTAAACACCCCCACGTCCCAACCCAGCCGGCCGGTAGCAACCCCGCCGTCCTAACTGCCAAAAAACAACACAAACTCTGCTTTTTGTTCGCCAACATGTCGTCGAGCTGCGCAAAGTGTAGCAGGAATTTGACGGAATGAACGTCGCTTGGGTAACCCTAAGCGGGCAGTCGCGTCCTACCCATCAAAAACAATGCACAGTTAACGCTTTTTCTCGTCAGCACGGATTTTCTTCTCGTCGACGCTGCGGCCCGTCGGGTTGAGGAGCTGGGCGGGCGGCAAGTCAGAATGCCTCAAGCAAGTGCGGTTCGCCGATGGTGCGCCCGTTGTCGTGTCCCCGGAGCGCGCGCTGGACATGCTGTCGCCGACGATGCAACATGAGAGGCTGGAGCGGGGCGCGGCGTACATCGCGCGCGTTTTTGCTTCTCGTCGACGTTGTTCAATACGCGGCAGGAAAAGGACACAGCTCATTTCGCGCGCTGCAGTCTAGCCGCCCACGGTATAAGATGAGCGACAGGCGTCGGACGCGACGAACTTGCTTCCTATGTTGCGGGAGGGCGGGTGGGAGTGGACGGAGCCCTCTGGCTCGTTCGAGCTGGCTAACTTGACCCCTCCCCCTACCCCCCCCACTGGACCTGGACGGGGCGCCCCGCGAGCGGTCAGGGCGTCCAAGATGACCCAAGATGGCCCCGACATGGCGTCAGAGAGCCCAAGATGAGTTCCAAAATGGCTCAAGGTAGCGCAAGATGCCTCGAGATGGCTCCCAAGATGCTCCCAAACGCCCCAAGACTGCTCCAGAACGGCTCTAAGATGCCAAAAGAGCTCCCCATAGATGCCCCAAGAGGCCACAATCCTTCAAAAACCTTAGGGAAATCAATGTTTGTTGCTTTCTCGCCGTTTCGCTTCCGATGGCCATTCGAGCCCTTAAGATAGCTCCAAGGTGGCCCAAGAGAGCCCTAAGCAGGGCCCAAGGGAGCCCCAAGACGGCCCCAAGAGCGCCCAAGAGCGCTCCAAGAGCGCCCGAGAACGCTCAAAAAGGCGACTTGGGGAGCTCCCGATGTGCGAGGCTAACTAAGGGACCTCTCTTCTTCGATCGATGTCCTCCAAGATGGCCCCAAGAAGCGCCCAGGAGGCCCCAAGAGGCCCCAAGATGGCCCCAAGATGGCTCCAAGATGGCCCCCAGGAGGCCCCCAGGAGGCCCCCAAGAGGACTCCAAGCGGCCCCAAGAGGCCCCCCCGAGGCACCCAAGACGCCCAAGAACCCCCCAGGACGGCCGAGAGACCCCCAAGACGTCCCAAGAGGCCTCCCAGAAGCGCCCATCGGTATCCCAAGAGGCGCCGAGAGGCATCCAAGAGACCTCTGGCCCTTTTGCTTGCCCTCCTCCTGCTCCTCCTTCCTCCTCCTGTTCCTTGTCTTCCTCCTCCTCGTCATCCTCATCCTCCTCCTCCTTTTCATCCTCCTCCGCCTCATCCTCCTCCTCCTCCTCTTCCTCCTCCTCTTATCCTCCTGATCAGCATCGTTATCATCGTCATCATCGGCACCATCATCATCATCACCACCACCACCACGACCACCATCATCATCATCATCAGCATCATCAGCATCATCAGCATCATCATCAACATCCTCATCATCGGAATCATCGTCATCGCCATCATCAGCATCATCATCATCATTATCATCATCATCATCGTCATCATCAGCAGCATCATCCCCATCACCATCACAATCACCATCACCATCACCATCACCATCATCATCATCATCATCATCATCATCATCATCAGATTCCTTCTCCCCACCCGCCATCCATCCATTCAGCCCCCCCCTTCTCCTCCTCCAGCCTTCGCACGGTTCGGCCGGGCACCTCTTTGATCCCGCACTTCCCTGATCACCTCAACTCGCCTAGACATCGTTTCTGTATGGGCTGGTGTTTTTTTACAGCCGCAGGCGGAAGCGCCAGCGGCGGAAGGTCGCGAACGGGCCGCGGACGCGACTGAATTACCTAACGCGCGCAGGGCCGCGGATCAGGCGGCTCACGACAGCGTCCAGGGGGGCGAAGCCAATGCAATCCAGGTGCCATGACAGCCCCTGAACGGGCATGCAGGTGCGTCCAACAGGCCTGAGGTAGGCACCGAGACGACCAAGCGCAGCCAAAATGGCGCGATAACGTTCCAACGTCCAGGTGCGGACAAGGCGACGACCCGAGGACGTCAGCCCCAGCCTGTCGGGTAGCAGAGGCGACGGGGTGGTAAGTCCAACGAGGGTCCCGACGGCGGCAGCGAGCCGCGGCGCCAGAACGACATCAAGGTGTATACATGTTCCGAGAAGACTACCACACCGAGATGTTTCGGCCCAGACCCAGCGGGTGGAAGGGCACCTGATGCACGCTACCCGTCGAAACGCGGCGAGTGCACACCACAGTGTCACAGTGCAGTCCAGAACGAGGCGGAAAGCACACGCGGAGCGAGACCGAGCATGCCCAGGCAAGTCCCACAAAGCCACTGATCCAGGGTCGCGGTAAGAAGCCGTCCAGCAATGAGAGTACCAGAGGGCACCGATCCATGGAGCCTGAAGGGCACCGCAGGCTGACTGGGAACAAGGACCAACGGAAAAAGCTGACGGCGAGCCAGTCGCAACGCAAGGAGCGCATCCAGGGTGTGGAGCATGATGACAAGAGAAACTTCCACAACTGAGATGCGACAGCCCAGATCCGACGAGTGGAGGGGCGTAGAAGAGCACGATGCACGGCAGACCCCGAGGAATATGCACATCTAAGGTGGCCCAGCGATGCCCAACCGAGTCGTCTAGCACAGAGGGGCGAGGACGCCTTGTACCCGAGACGTGTCCCTCAGAGCCATTGGATCCAGGGTGACGGCGGAAGGCCGTGCTTCTTGTTTGAGAGGTCCAGGGTGACGGCGGAAGGCCGTTCGTTCGGTTAGAAAGTCCAAGGGGAAGCCAGTGGTCAGGCGAGTCGTGGCCCGCTGACAGGCCAGGAAGGCCTGGCGGTGAGACAACTACAGTAGGGCCTGAGGCCGCGAGTCCACTGCGGAGAGGCGGTGGACGGCATTGCCGAAGCGCGCACCTGGATCCAAAGGCAGGAGGTGCGCGCATCGGGTGGAGGGCGGCAGAGCGCCGCGATTAGGGGCCCGCGGCGCGGCCTGGGCAGCGCCCGCTGGAATTCAGGAAGTGAAACAAGGCGGGGAAAGAGGAGCCGAGTGACAAGAGGGCGTCGGCCACCGGTGGAGAAAGGCAGTGATGCCAGTGGCAAGTTGGTCTGCAGGATGCGCGGTGTCACGCGCGGAGCAGACGGCATTACCGAACGGCGCCCCAAGGCCAAGGGTGAGAGAGGGTGCCGCTCAGGGGAGGGGGGGCAGAGCTGCCCCAGGTTGAGGGAAAGGGCGGCAGAGGGCCGCGGTGGCGCGTTGTGAAGCGCAGGTGGTGGCGCGGGCACTGGGGGGCGGCGAGGGCAGAGAGGGAGTTCAGCCTCTCCAGCGGAGTCTCTTTTCCTCTCGATCATCCCGATCATCAGGGTAACCTCCGCCGCGCTTGCCACCCGTCTGCCAGTGATCCTCACGCCATCCGTCGCGCCACTCGCCCTGCCAACTGCTCCAGGTGTCCCAGGAACTTGTCGCACGGTCGCGCCAGCCCGTGTGGCGATAGCCGCCTTTGCTCCTGTCGTCTGTCTGGGAGTGGCGCAGGTAGTTGGCTCGTATCTTGTTCCAGTCGATATCGTAGCCCAGCCTCCTGTTCATCTCGTAGGCGTCGTACCCGCAGTCCTTCCAGGCCTCTAGGAAGTTGATGATGTCCGAGGGCATGTGTAGTTTCGGGTCGGACTTGGGCGCCCTCCATCCAGGGGACAGGGTGCGCTGCGTATTCGCTGTCCACAGTTCGCAAAAGACTGCTCC